CCGGCGTCGCATGAAAATTTATCGCTCAACTTCGGTTTCCTTCAAGGTCGGCCGCGCCACTTTGCATACATCGCTCTTCTTCCACTTTTTCGCGAATTCTCTCGCAAGGAAAGTCGACTCGTTTGCGTTGCGCTACATGCATCCGCCGCCGCGCCGACGGAAAGACGGGAAACGCGGAGGCTGCGAAGAAAAATAAGAGGCACAGGGAGGGGCAAACATCCCGTTGAACTTGGAGCGAATACTTTATCTCATTTTGATGAACTACTCTGGGTACGGCGCTTCGCGTCGTGGTGCCCCGGCAAATTCAAAACTTTTTCCTGTTTATCGTTGGAACCTACTTTGTCGCGCACTAAACATTTTTTATTTTTACGTACATACTGCACACACATACACATAGTGGCATTAAGAAAATGAAAATATTAAGTTTTATCCATCAAAGAAAGAGTTTCGATCGCTTCGATGAATTCTATGTTGGCGTAGAAACGTCACAACACGACGATATATAGAATACCGTCGACGGGGGATGAGACCGAGAAATGACGAATGAGTCACGCCGAGGGTGGTTACGCCTCGCGAGCCTCTTCTCTTCGGTAATCAGGAGGACGTGACGATGGCTGCGTAAAATACGGGCGCGTGTAAGAGCGTGCGGCGTCGAATTGCGAGTCGAATCGAATCAATCGTGAGCATCGTAATTCGAAATAAGGGAAGGGAGGGAGAGGAGCGCGAAGAAGGGTGCGCGCGGCGTGTAAAGTTACCGGTTGCAAGGGTAAATCTAGTTTCTTCGTTACGGAGACCGAGAGACGAGACGGCTCGCCGTCTGGAAGGGAACCGACGATGAGAGCGATACCGTGAAAGTAGGGTCGTTCGGGGGAAGTACGGATTTTCTCGGCGCGGCATTTATTCCGCCGCGCCGGTGCAAACGGTAGAACTTTTCACGATGACACCGCCAGCGGCGATTAACGAGATGACAAAGTCGAATTCTCTAGTCGCTAGCGTCTCGCATCCTTCGAACGCCACACCGCGCCGGGGCGGAACGAGACACGCGGCGAAATTGGCAAAAGGAACGAGAACGACTACTAGTAGTATAAGGTACAAGTTCGTATAAACTTTCGTGCATTTCACGCGGCGTCCCAAATTTCTGATTCAAATCGAGAAGCGATAAGAGATTACGCGAAAGATAGTTATAATCGTATGATAATTGTAAAGTACGGTGGCAAAGTTTCCCCGCTTACGTGCGTCGCATAATTAAATTCGCGGCGGTTACACGGTAACGCGTGCGACGACGGGGTCTAACAAGTTCCACGAAATTAATTCGCCGCGGTTCTTCGCATCGCAATAAGCCGTCTGTTCGCCAAGTTCGTCGGCGAATTTGCTTAAAGCAATTTTCCCAGCGGACCGATTGTCGCCGCTACCGTTGTATCGGGACACTGAATCTCTAGATAGTTCCGACAAGTATAGACGATAATTTTTCATACGAGAGAGAGAAAGAGAGAGAGAGAAAGAGAGAGATTCTCTCGTATTCGATCTATTTAAATTCCTTTAACTTGTAGCATGCGCGCCGTTTCATTTCAGCACACAATTTCTCGTCGTGTCAATGGCAGGAAGTAGAGATGAATTATTCGAGAGAATAATGAACGATTGAAATACCCTCAGTCGTAGCGCCTAAGGGGCGATCTAGCTTGCGAAGTGAGAGCGAAAGTGAAAACGAACGAGGGGGCGAGTCCCTAAAAAATTAACGTTATTCCTTCCCGTAGGGCGGGCCCAGGAGGATCCTGCGTTACGCCTAATGTCACTGCGATTTGAAATCGATAACGACCCATCCAGATATGCAGGAGTCAGATACCCTCGATGGCCGACGGCAAAGAGCAAGAAGTCACGTCGTATTATCGTCGGTAACTCGGAAGGCTCGACGCGGCGAGCGGGCGGTGTGCCGGTTCTTCAAAGAAACCAGCGGGTCGCGGAAAGACGAAGAGGAGGCGGGAGACGACGAGACGTCGTCGCGCAGATATACGTATCCCGGCGACGCTGGCGCGTTACGCCATTCTTGCCGGGCCCTTCCTGCCGGTAATCAAAGATTTATATCGGTGAAGTGCACGCGCGCGGGCACGTTCGGGATGCTCTTACGGTTCGCGGGGAGAGGTACGATCGACGAGATAGGAAAGTCGATGCGCTACTGTGTTCCGTCCGAGTGACGTTTTCCCGATCGCAGATACGTGGTGGGCGACGTATATCGTGTATACATATATATATATATATGTATGTATACGAGCGCGAGTCGCGAGAGCGAACAGCGGAATGAATTAATGCCGCGCGGTTGCGATCGCGAGATACGCCGCTTTTATGTTAATGGGCGCGTATCCTCGAGCGCGTATCCGCAGATCACGCTGACGGATGCTCGCGGACGTTTGCGAGATAAGTCGCGTATAATGCGTACGACCGTCAATTTCGACGACGTCGCGATCAACATTGGAAGTGTGTAAATCGCGTGCGCAATTGCACACGGATCGATGGAAAAGTCACGCGTCGCTTTTTCCTGAATCTGTCGCATTGAACACGATATGTCTTGCGATAATAACGGCAATCTTTTAATACTGCTAGCTTTTAATACTGTGTGCGAACATATAGTCGTTCTAAATAAATTAGAAATTGCAATACGGAACAGATTATTGTAGAACAGCAATTTGTTGTTCAACTATATTTTTTTAATTAGAGAAATAGAATAAAAGTGTATGTACAGTCGTGAACACATCGGTTGCGATACTTTTTATAGGTTTCTGTTATGTATATATTTAATATAAATAATATATACTTTATAGATAACTAATATGTTGCAAATGCGAACCACGATGTTACTATCTTTAGTCTAGAGACAGTATAACACCAATCGTGGTCCGCATTTGCAAAATATTAGTGCGTTTTGAAATCTATAAAAAAGAATGTGTCGCAACCGATGTGTCCACGATTGTACATGTCACTTGCTTGCTCTAATAACGACATAAAAATTTATTTTTGAGTTGTTTGCAATAAAAGAATAGAAACATAAAGAAAAAAAGAAAGATCGTACTTTTAATTTTCGATAATTAATTATTACGCCAAAATTTTTAAATTAATTATAATATTACAAAATTTTAATGATTAAAAATATTCAAACGTATTTTTTGGAAATTGATTTTTGAGTTGTTTGACTGTTATATGTAGAATACACATCATGTATGCGCGTGCGTATAAGTAACCCTTTGACAGTCGTATGGATTTTTGCAATCGATCCGCTCTGGCGTCATGTTATTATATTTTATATAATGTAATTTCATATAAATTATACATACACATACACACACGTAAGTTTAACCCTTTGACAGTCGCATAGATTTTTGCAATCGATAGCGTCACACTATTATTTCTTATATAATATAATTTCAAGTAAATTTTTTACATTAAAATAGATTTTTTAATAAGTATGTAACGTGTGTGTGTGTGTGTGTGTGTGTGTGTGTGTGTGTGTGTGTTATATGTATATATACACATTAACTCTGTGTTTCATTGAAAATAATACATGGAATAACAAGTGCTGCAAGCTTTATTATTCCATGTATTATGCTTTACGTATAATGTGTATTACGTATAATATGTATTATGCTTCACGTATAATGTAAAACTCGAGACGTTGATCCGATAAATGATTCGATAAATTCTACAAAATTTCAATTTGACATTCAATTTGAATTCATCGAATTCTTTCTTCGCCGTCAAGCGCTTGATTGACTGACAGCTTAAAGATTAACATGTCTTTTTTCCACTCTTTCTGTCTCTTTCTCTTCCTATCTCTCGGATACAGGAAAATTCAGTTCGACTCACGTCAAACGGGACATGATAAACTAATCTCGCGGCAGCATCCGACTTTGAAGAATCTTCGTCCCTCCGCGACGCTTACGACATTCACGCTTATCTCGCGTGAACGCATCCACAAGCTCGCCCGGACGGACATTAGCATACTTAATGGCCCTTTGTTTGGCCAACTTGAACTACGAATGTTGCGAGCGCGACACGGTTCGTTAACTTGACCGAATCAAATTACACGAATTTACTGTCCCAACGCCTTCGTGGTATCTCATCGTGGGTCTATATAGCCGCGCGAGTTTACATTGCTCTTGGACGGAAGTTCGACGTTTCGGCGAAATCAATTCTGCTGGAAACTCGCGCTCAGTTTCAACGCATCTCGGAGATAGTCTCGTTAGAGTACGGCGACACCCGATTCGGATAACTGTACAGGGCGGAATGCGTCCGGAAATAGAGCCTGTGCGACGCGTGTGTATTTTACGTGAGTGATATTGTTCCTATATAAGTAATGACATACATCGATATTTCCCATTTTATTCCTCGCCTATATTTAAAGAGAATTCTGTGTGACGTAACCGAACATCGTTACAATAACGGTAAAATGGAATTTTCACTGTAATAAGATTTGTTTGAATAACTTGGTATATATTCTGTATACACACGAATAAAATCCAATATATATCGATATAATTTTCAATACAATACGCTCGCTTGTACCGTCGAAGTGCAAAAATATTTATTTACGGAAAAATAACGAGATAGAAGTATCGAGACAAATGAGAAAAAATGTAAGAAATTATTTTATGTCGTCCCGACTTTTATATTTATTTCTTGCTAAAAGCAGAAATGTCAAGTGATCCAAATTCGAGCGATGCAAACGTTTACACCAATCTACGAATTTACTTTAGCGACATTAATATTCTCATTAAACGTCCCAATAAAACGCCGCGCCGCGCGCCGCGTCGGTAAGAAATTTCGCGCGCCGCGCGAACGCGTGAAATTAGTTGCGAGTCAAATCACGTGAGTCACGTGACCGGTTCCTCTCGGAGTCGCTTCAGTCATTCCGCGTTTTCACGTCCGTGGCGAGGGAGTCGCGTTTTCACGTCTTTTTACCCGTCCTCCCCGGGTGAGTTCCGCGTATGAGCGAGTATCGGGAATCGCTGGATCGAGCGGACGAGCAACCGTTTCGGCATGCTGATCAACCCGCGCGACCGCATCCGCCGGCGATCGCGGTCGGCGGCCTGTCGCTTCGCGTTTCGCCGGATCGACGCATACGTCGGGACGATTCGTCGTCGAAGACGCTCTCGTATCGCGTCGGTATACGCTCGCTCGAGCGTGCCGGGTGCCGTCTGTTTACGCGGAACATCGAAGGAGCGTCGAATAACATCGTAGAGGAGCCGCGAAGGACGCGCGCGCGGGCACGACCGGCTGTCTGTTGACATAGATGATCCCGCTTGTTTACGATACTAGCGCGCGTAACGCTCGTTGTGCCGCCATGATTGCTCCGGCGCACCACTTTTCGCGATATTTTTGCGCGAAACTCGTCGGAAGTACTTACCGAAGCGGGTCTACGGATGTCTTATTGTCGATGCGTCGATTGATCGCGGTTGAATGTGTTTTCCGATATCTGTGACGAATATTGATTGCCACCGTATACGACTAATGTTTATCGAAAGTTCCTCACAAGTGCATCCGTCTCGTCCTACTTGAGCGTAATTGTGCATCGGGAGTGTCGATTGACTCGGGTGATTGATACGGGTTTTAATGTATTAATCAGTGGCGGATATTGACATTTAGAGGCCCCTAAACGCAACTTCATTCGAAGACCCTTGAGATACCGAGAGGCTCGAGACATGCGTTTGTTATGATAGAAAATTTACCATTGGACATTATTATATAAAGTTATTCTTATCATTATTATGCCACATTCGAGTTAATGCTTAATGAGTTTTGTCACATTCCGTCCAGTAGTAGGTATTATACATATATATAATCATTTTTCTTTTCACGAATTTTTCAAATTAATTATTGTGCATTAATTGAAATATATGTATTTATATTAACAGTAATCGACAGTATTTATGTATGTTGTAATTGTCGATATATTTATATACGTGCACTAATTAACATTTATATATGTAGTAATTGATCGCAATTATTTTCTGTATTAATCACCGTTTGCAGATGCGCTTTACATCAAAAGTTCAGTAGAGTTGTAAACAACATAACTACAGTTACATTATAATTTGCTCTAGTTTGTATGCTGTAATTAATATGATTGCTTTATAAAATTACGTGCACAATTCAATCAAAATACGCGATAATTAATGATAATTGTGATTATTTTTTTTACATTAGTCGCGATATTAATGTTTAATTATTTTGTAGCTTAGAAGTGCAAAATTGTAGTTAACCCTTAAGGATTCATGTAATTTTTTTGACGTAAGTGTCGCGTGGGGAGTCAATTTGATTTTATTTAAATTTATTTATTTTTTATGTATAAACAAAATTTTTTTATTTTTATTTATAAGTAATCATAAATTGAGACATATTTTAAACATAAAATAAAAATTTTCAAGCACTAGAAATTAAAAGAAATCTATATTTTTTAAAATATTTTATCACTATATATAATGTAATATTAATGGTCAGTAAATTCGGAATTTGCAACTTATGCCTTAAAGACACTAAAAATAAATTTTAATTATTATTGTATTTAAAGTTAAAGTATAGATACATAAAATATATGAATATTACTTCAACAATATTTTATAAAATAATTAATTTTACAAGGTTCAAGGCGTGAATTAAAAATCGCATTCATATGCAGTTTTCGAATGAGTAAATTTTTATCTTTAATTTGATTTTTTATTGAGCGTTGTGTGAATTTTTTTCTCCAAATTATTCAACAAAAATGGTTTTTTTTGCCTCAGAAAAATATATTTACGTTAACTAGATTATTCAATAAAATTTTTATATTTCATTTAATAAAAATAATTTACATAATACAAATAAAATGTCTAATAATACTTTGAGTGCTTATAAATTAAAAAATTACTTAATTTAAATTTTTTTAAATTAAATCACAGATAGTTACGTGCTCCCTCGGGAGTTAAAGTGACACCAAGAAGTAAAAAAACTGATTGAAAATAAAAGAACTATTTGGTAAATGTCTTGAGCGTTATCGAGCTAAAAAAATTTGCTATTTCGCTAGATTCTAGGGTCAGCCAAGTGAATGAGAAAGAAAAGATACTGAAAGCGGTAGTGCCGCAAACAAAAACGAAACAGAGATACATTCATTTTTTCATACGGATCAATTTGACCTCCACGCGCGAATACTTAGGGGTTAATACCGCGGTCGTTCCGGAATCGCTCTTATCGCATTCGAATTGCGATTTCAAATGTGCGATTGTATATAAAAAATAAATAATTCATGAGAAAATATATGTAAGTACTGTCGGGAATACCGGGAGGAGTATCGAATGACCATCGTATTGCGCATATAGATACGGGCACTAGCGAATTTTGACCCCTGGACAATAATTGGATTTGGAGATCCCTATCGAGGCCCCTAGGCCCGCGCGCCTGCTGCACCTAATGGAAAGTCCGCCACTGGTGTTGATTAGCGACGCGAATGTACTTTTCGGTGTCGGTGATAGATATCGATCGCGTTCCGTGGGATCCGCGTCCGTCGGAAGAACTCGTTTACTAATATGCGCGTGTCGTGTTATTTCGCGAGTGTGATTGAGTGCGTCGCAAGTGCATCGAGGAGCATCGAGGGGCATCGAGGGACACCGTTGGCCGTAATGGACCATTGAGACGGGGGACTGCTGCTCGTCTACGGTGAGTACGAGTTATTCATTCCCATGATGTTTGCTATCGAACCATGTACGATTTTTTTTGTCACGCGGTGCGGAATTTGCCTAAAATAGAGGAGAACGGAGAACACATAGAAACTTTCTTCGCGTCCGAATTTTTAATATTCTCTAGACCACATATAAATAACAAAATTGTTCTGTCTCAAATAATCTTTAATTGTCTTAAATAATGTGAAAAAAAATCTAGACGATAATCTTCGTGGTCCATTTTTGGAATTCACATGGGAAAGACGGTAAACGTTAAGCTCGTGTCGAGCGTTAAGCACTACACATATATTGAAGATTGAGAATTGCGAATTAGAGATCAGATTTGACCCTCTCCCCCCCTAGTCAGATAATCTTTATTTTAATCCGTTTTGTTCTAAGACTGAAATCTGATCTCTAATTCGCAATCCACAATTTCCATTGGGTGGGCACGCTTTATTATTATGATTTGCGCGTAAAGTGTATCACGCAGCGACATCGTCGGCGCAATCGCGACGTGACGACGTCATCTGTGTTTTCGCGGCGGATTAAATCATTGATTAGTGCGGCAACGTACCAAACGCACCACGTTGCGGAGTGACCGATGAGTCATTGTCATTAAGCAAACGTAAGTTGGAAACGTAACACGTAACTGCTCGGCGCACACGAACGGTCGAAGGGGCCCCCTCGGTCGTGACATTAACGTATCGCGTCGTGTGTACAAATGAAACTGCGGCGTGTCGTTCCGTGCGATTCGTCGTTGCAATAATTTGCCTCACTCTTTCGCGGAAGCGCGTCGTCGTTTCTCACAGCGAAACTCTCTCTCTCTCTCTCGCGCCGAGAAGATGCTAATTTGGCCGTGTTTCGTTCGAGAACTTTGAAATTTTTTCCGTTCTCGTTTCTCCTTTTGCTCTCTCTTGCCGTCCCTCTCCCTTGTGCTCCGCTTTCTGCTATTGTGCCGTTTGCCGTGGTTCTCCGGTCGTTTTATAGCTTCATTAGAAGCCAGGACTCCCCGTTTAATAATTCATCGGGGAAGCTCGGAAAGCTCATCGTGTCGTTTCGCCTTGCTTCTATTCGTTCTTTGACGAGTAATCGGGCACCTCTCTCACGTACTTTGTTGTTGGCGGGAAGAAAAAGCTTTGTTCAATGAGTAATATCCGGATCTACCGTACACGGCTGTACCGTATTAAAATGTGTACATTCAGATGAACAGCCGCCCCTTCCGAGTGTCATTCATCTCTGCGAAAAACACGTTTCGAAGAGTGGAATCCACGTATACTTTGGCAGGTAAAAGAATTGATTACTGTCTTACAAAATATGTATAAAAAATCGTAAATTTTATCTCTCGAATAATTTTGAGAGCAGCTTCATGTACATACATACAATAACATTGAAAAGAGAAAAAGCATCTTTTCACAGCCGTATACTTTGGCAGGTAAAAGAATTGATTAGTGTCTTACGAAATATGTATAAAAAATCGTAAATTTTATCTCTCGAATAATTTTGAGAGCAGCTTCATGTACAATAACATTGAATAACAATAACATTGCGTTTCGGCTGTGAAAAAGCTCTTTTCAGTGTTATTGTACATGAAGTTGCTCTCAAAATTATTCGAGAGATAAAATTTACGATTTTTTTATACATATTTCGTAAGACACTAATCAATTCTTTTCGCTCGTTATAATTTCCTGTGCGCCATAATTTTTTACCTCGACGGGTCTAGGGTTGACGTCATCGACGTTTGTTATGGTCGCGTTATGAGGTCGTACGAGCGACCGTAAACTAGCGTGTTGCAATAAACCATTGTTAGGCCCTCACGGGGCGCGGAATGGGCGAGCGGAGAGGGCGGGACGATGTCTTCTGAGACGCGTTTTATCCGGGAACACGTGCTGCGAGAGAGCTAGGAGAAGGGAACGTTAGAAAGAAAGAAACCAGCATCTCCCCCGAGATAATTACAAGCGGCTTCCCAAAGCCGAGAGAGTCTCGGATATTCAGCCGCCTTGTTTTCAGGTTCTCTCCCCTCCTGGAGAATCCGGCCGTTTCTAAGGAAATGGTGGCTCGTAAAACAAGAGAAGAAATATCGCCGGACTATTTATCGAATCATTACTGCCCATAGGAATCCAATGACGCGCGGGGTTACTCAAAGAGAGAAAGACATTCTTCTCTCCTAGTTGCTAGCATGCGGCATGCGGAAGGAATTCTTGTTTGGAAAAATGGTCGCGATCATTACGACACTTGGGAAACAAAGTCTCACTTTTACAGCGCAATTATTTTTACGATATGGCTATTCTTGAATCTCTCTTCTAACGAACGTTACCGAGTCGGTCTTTGATCTTTGACGGCACTGTCCTCTTCTCCCCTCCGTCGCGCGTAATTTAATTAATTGGTTTATTTATTTGTATTATGATTTACTTAGTCGTGCGACACACAGTCTTCGTGCCCGAAGAGCCGATATACCGCTGGTATACACATTCGCGATATGTATGTTGAGACTGAAAAACAGAGATATGTAAATCCAATGACGAGAACAATTTCACGCGTGTACACGTTGCGCGTGTTGAAGTATTACGCGTTGAATTCTCCGTTGAAGTTTAATTTTATGGCTTAATTACTGGGACAAGAGAGGAGCTTTTAAATTAAACTGCTGAATCAATCAACGCGCGGCGATACGCTGTGTTATTCGTTCGCGCGGTGGAACGAGCGAGAGATCGGGGATCGCGGAAACATGCCGAAACCGACAAGTTAATACGCTTCGTTTCAAGGTTCATTATCTTCATTATTATGTGTGAAAATTAAAAGCCCCGGAGATTTCTTTCCCTTTTTATCGAGAGTCCTCTTTTAATGTGAAATTCGTTTTCGCGTGTGTATACTTTTCATAACATTTATCGATATGGGATAGACATAGGTATTGAATATTGGAAGCCAACGCCACGCGGGGAGGAGCATATACAATATATTATGTATCGATTAAAAAATGATAACGTGAGATTTTAAAGAACGCCACGACTCGTCATATCCGTAGAGAAAGAAACATCCTTTCCGCGAGGTGCGCTCCTCCCCCGAGAGAAATTTTCGAACGCGCACATTTATTGCGAGCGGTTCAGGCATAAAGTATCAATTCTGATCCTCCTACGACGTGTTTACGACGCCGGCGGACTAACTTTATGTCTTTCTTACGAAGTTTACGAGACGCGCCCGCCTCTGAGAGTGCGCGTCCGCGAGTGCTCCATATCGAGCTGTTGAGCGTGGAAGAAGAAGACGTAATCCCGGTCCGAAACATATCCGTAACCGCTTGTTACTACTAGTCGCTGCCGCCGGCCGCTCACGCCGAGGATCCGCCCGCGCAATATTCTGACGCCGATTTAGATTACGCGTTTGCCCGTGTTGCGGCCCCGGCTCGCGAGACAATAGATTCGCTGGATCGAACGGAATGTGACTGCGCGGAAGATAGATAGTATTGTCGCGTACGGAGGCTTCCTGTAGCGCGGCTGTGCTGTTTATCGGCGAAATTTATACGAGCGGTCTAAGGCACGCTTCGAAACGCCCCGTCATGAATCTCGATCATTTTGAGACACACGGAAAATCTATTTGTTCGCGTTTTATATACAGTAAGAGCATCCCGTAATATATACTTGCCTCGCGCGTGATATATTTTATAATTAGTTTTAGTAATACATAATACACGTATGGAGTATAACGAATAAGTATAATAAAGATACATATATACATGCATCGGCCGCGCTGCATTATTTGATCACGGATATGTATACACAGACGGCCCCTTTTATTTCATATTCATAAATTCTCCCCCTCGCGAATCGCCGTCGCCGCTGCCGCAGCCGCGCCGCCGCGAACATTCGATTAAATGCTGCAATCTCGCGCGCGATCTCACTTTGGCGAACGTCGAATATTTCATATCCACCAATTAGAGCGCTTCTCGGTGATCAAAATGCCGCGTCCAGATAAGCATTTATCAGCTCCGCCGAACGGCTAAACTCGTTTTCCTGCGCCGCGATTAAAATCGCGCGACACGCGGGGCGCTCGCGCGCTCGCGTGCGAATATTCGCTCGCGTGTGCGCGAGCGCGCGCGATTTCTCTCTCTCCTCCTGCCTCCTCTCGTTCTCGCCACTGAGTATAATTGAGTTAGCCGTGTGACACGTCGTGCCATCCCATCCTGGTCCACGATGGGCGTCCAGCGGCGAGGTGGTGGCGTCCGGGGGGGGGGGAGGAGGATGGTCGGGTCGGTCGGTTTGTTCCGCGACGACGATGGAGGCTCGAGCTCGGCCGGTTGCAGCTGCCGCGTGCAATGCCGAGGGCGTGCCGATAAAACGCAAACATTTAATTAAAAGATAATCAACTGGATTGCGCGGCGTCCGCTAATGTTGCAGAACGGGAGATAGGACCCGGGCGCTACACAATATCGGTTCTTTATGCATATGAGCGTGGCTGGAACCGCGTCGCCGCCGCTCGCCTATGTGATTTAATTTTACACGAATATAAATTCGCGCGCACACACATAGTTCCGATACGCCGCCATCTCCGCCACCGACCGTCGATCGTTGCCATGTTCACCCGCGCCGAAGCGACGGCGGTGGCGGCGGCGGCGGTGGCGGATATCGGGCCGATTTCCCATCAACTCGCCCATGACGCACGCGAAGGCAGGAATATGAGATATAAAAATTTGAGACTCTGAGATATGATTTTGAAATTTTTTAAAGAAAAATATCAGAGAAGCTTTGGATGTGCAGTGGAATAGTTTATTTAAATTAATGTCTTTACGGAGAATTAATAAAAAATTTTAACATAACAGACGAATATAAAAAACGAAATGATCTGTCACATTTTGCATTTTGTCATCTCTTTTATTTTTGGCATGGTGTTTAATATACGATCATCAGGATACATTCTTCAACAATGATGACAAGTTCAGATTGTTGCGGACGTGATAGCGGTTAAGAGAGTGCGAAGAAACGGCACGGAAGAGTAGCGACGAAGGGCACG